GTCCACAGGGAATACAGCACCATGAGAAGGTCTCAGTAACAAAATTCCATTCCGTATCTATCTTGCTACATTGGCACTCATTGAATCAGAAAAAGTCACTCCTCAATTTAACTGATGATGACTTTTTTTAACAAAAAGACAGCACACAGTTTGCATTTCTGTATTTCATACACTTTTTTAATCTGTTTCTTCTCTAAATTCTACTTTTAATAAAGAAATCTGCAAAATAGGAATACGTGATTCTACAAATCTATAAAGGCCATACCTTGATGAATTCATTTTTAATTAAATACTAAGGAAAAAATTAACAGAAATAATAAAAAGATATCCCTCTTCAACTCTCCAGTCCAAAAGCTTCCACTTCCTAAAATATCATTGCCTAAAATGTAGCTTTTAAATAGACATTAGTATGCCTTAAAAAAAAGAATTTAACATCTACAAGACTACAATGAACTATTAATGTGACCTACAATTCCAAGTGTACATGGAATGTTCTCACACCTTTAGAAAAAATGTGGTAACATAATGTTAATACAAGAGAAAAATGACTGGGTACTTGAAAAGAAATTAGTTAAACCATACCAAAAGCTTAATCTATAATTATCTACTAATTTAAAAATTGCAATAGCTGTTTTTAATGACATCAGTGCTTTATATCCTGGCTCTTCACGTACCACAGGAGAATTCCATTAAGAATTACAGGAGACAAACTAAGGGGAAAAAAGAACAATCAGAGAAACCAATCCATTCCTTGTGCCTATTCCAGATCTGTCAGTTCCTCTAATTTTCCTGCCAATTCCATGCTCCAGTCCTCTGCTCTCCTATTCTGAGAGTGGCAGCCTCTAACTTTTCATTCCTTTAATTACTGTAACACTCAATTTTTTATACACCTTTACCTTCTTGCCCAAAACCCAAGTTAAAAACTATGTTAGAAGAGAAAGACATTACCATTTGAAACACATCTGAGCCTTCATCAAAATCTACCATAGCAAAAAAGATCTTGTTGGTAAATGCACTGGAATATCTCCAGGAGTTTGCCAGAATCTGGTATTCCTCATCAGCTTGCCTGGAAAACACACCAAGCGAGATGCTGTATCATGGGTTTGTCCAGAACACAGGTTATAAAGCTGAGGTAGCTGTGCCCACCCACTCTATAAATAGGTGTATTCCCCCCCCCAGTTTTCTACTGTTAAAAAGGATGTTTTAGTTTCAGGATTTAAGAAAAAGTTTTAGCTCCAACACTCATCTCCAGTCAGGTGAAGCATTTGGCACTGCTGCTTTTTTAAATGCAAGGGCAAGATCCGTGGAGTCCGTGAACACAAGCAGAGGGAATTTCTAATTGAAATGTGAAATGGAACCCAGCTGCTCCTGATTTGCTTGTCCACAGAGCACCAAAATACAGCCAGGTGTGCCCTCCTTTCCATGTCAGAGGATGGCAAACCAGTAATTTCAACTGACAAGGTATAAAAATCATCTTCACAGACCTCTGCCACCTCCAGATTATTACAGGAAAGCCATAATATGGTTAAAGATCCAGGAAATCATAACTGTAAATAAATAAGTGCCAAACAACTTTTAGGCTGCGTGGCCAGCAGTAATTCTACAAACATTTCTTCAGCAGCTCGTGCCAGGAAAGTTGAGCTTTCACCCTGTCTTTCTCCAGAAGTTATCAGTGTAAGTACTGTTTCTGCAATGCAGGGATTATATTTTAGGAGGGAGATAAAACTAAGGATTATGTTGTTTTCTCACATACACATTACACATATATTCCCACACATTAAATTTCAAAGACAATCCTATTATAACTTGGCATTTCTATCCCTCCTACACATGTGAAAGTTCAACTATTCTTAAATTTCATTTTCTATAAAGCATCTGATGACTTTCAAGTTCTAATTTACGACTAAATGGAGCCCATACTTGCACACAACACATTGTCTGTGAGGCTGAAGAGCAGTGAACATCACAATCACCGAGTAATTTCTGGGTGGTGCCTTCACAAGGCGTCGAAATTTGTCTCCATTCATTCGGATAACGGATCTTTTACTGGCCCACTCCATCAGCTGGTTCACTTTTTCTGATAACACCATCTGAAAATAAAGTCAGAGGAACATCATTGTTTCGTTTTTCCGGTCTCACAGTACAATCTCGAAGGTTTTTAGATTTGATGTAACAAATATGTGCACTGTATTTCCTAACAACACCGGCCAGACGATGTGATACTTCATGAAGACTCTGGAAGGCATTCACAGATGCTTTTGGCACTCATGTTTGGATTCGTGACCTCAACCACCTAGTAATGCACACAGAGTTAAGCACTTAGTGTGACACGTGGTGGTGAAGTCCCTCAGCTCACTATTCCTCCCTTCTGCTGCTAATTGCAAGATTTCTTTCAGCTGTACAAACTGCCCCAATACCTCAGCAGCATTTTTTCAAAACCAAGCATCAAACTGTTTCAGATGGCAAAACCTGTCGCAGTGGAATCAACACCAGAGATAGAAGCTCTACAGTAGTGAGCTCAACATCTCATTTTCAGCATTGCTGAAAAAAAAATTTGATTCAGGACATATTTGAGGAACTCAGGAGTGCTCAACACTAAAACATTCCTTAAAAAGGAGCCAACCAATTCTATAACATTATACGAAGATGTATTAGACTGACAGACTCCCAAATGTTACATTTACCATAAAGCACTCCTCTACTCTTTATTAAAACCCTTCTTGAGATAAATACTTCAGGGGAAAAAAATCACAGAATATCCTCGGAGAGACCCAGTAGGACCAACAAAGTGCAACTCCTGGCCCTGCACAGGGCAACCCCAAGAATCCCACCATGATAACAATAATAATAAAAATAATAAACCACCCTTCTTTGACTTACAACTTACACAAGCATAAACAGATATAGATATATATAAATAAATAAAACTGACACAAGTATAAACACTTATACAGAGGGATCTTTCCAAACCCTAGGAGTCAAAAGTGTGGAAATAAGTTGCACCTTCGTGATTACAACCAAAGACCACCCATCCTCCCCGCCCCAAATCCCGTGCAGGAGAAAGACAACACTCGAGCAGTGCTCCTAACGAGAATTGAAGAACCTGGGACTAAGGACACCCGGTCGCAGCCGCGCCCGCGGGTTCCCCTCAGAGCCGGCCGCGCCTGAGGGCGGGGAGCCGCTGTGAGGCCGGGCCGCCCCGCCGGGCCCTGCCCCGAGACCCCCTGGCCCGGCGGGAACACGCTCCAGCAGCTGCCCACGGGGCTCCCAGCTGGGTCTCACCTCCTTCCGCCTCTGACCCGCGGCCCCGGGCCCGCGGCAGCCCAAGAGCAGCAGCGCCGCCATAGCCAGCACCGGCACCGGCAGCGCCGCCATGGCCGCCCCGCTCCGCCCCGCCGGCAGCGCCGCCCCGCCCGCGCCGCGGCACCGGCCTCCCATTGGCTGAGCCTGCGGGAGCGCGGCGAGCTGGAGCCGCGCCATTGGCGGAGCCCTGAGGGGAGGGCGCGCGCGCCCTGAGGGAGGGGAGCGATGGCGGCACCGCCCCTGAGCCCGCCCTGCCCAGAGCCCCTCAGCCGGCACAGCGCCGCCGGGGCCGCGGGGCAACGCTGCACATCGGGTTCTGAACAGGTGACACAGCGTCGTCCACAAAAATCGGATTCGTTACCCAGTCTGCAACAAGCCAGTAATGACACACTCGGGACAGACACTGATTATTTGTTTCAGAGTTGTGCAAGCCTGGGTACCAGCTGGTATCAAGCACCAGCTATCAAAACTTTTTACTATTTATACATTTTAGCAAAGAAATGAATCAGTGTTCAGAGGCTGCAAGTTACATAGTCTCTTATTAATTAATATTAGTTAATGATTCTCTCACTTCTCATGCTAATTAGTCCACACGCTCAGTTTTTCTCTTCTTTTGGATTGGTGGGTTTCTTAGCTCGGTGGTCTGTGAGTCGGTGGCCATCATCTGCCCCTGCCGGAATCGCCTTTCACCCAGTCGGAGCTGATGCAGCACAGTTGCTGAGTTGGGTTTATTAGTTTCTTCCTTTTCTTGGGAATTCTGCCAGATGTCCTTGTGGCCTTGTGTAAATTCTGTATTCTTTGTTCCCGCTATCAGTGGTACATCCTTCTTCGGAAGCTTTGCTAACTTCCCCATAGGTCTGAGGTCATTGAAGCATGTCCAGCCCTAAACCTTAACAATGTAATTCTACCAACAAGTAATTTGTTTTTCTAACACCTGGACATCACTTACAGCTTGTTGGCTACTCCCTATTTCATGGATTAAATCTCCCTTCTTGTTGATTAGGCTTGAAAGTATCCAGAGATCAAACATCAAAGAACATCCTTGCTTAAGAAATTTTACATATTCCACATTTTGCAACATCAGGAACCGTCCAGGTGGGTTTTGAATGTCTCCAGGGGGGGAGACTCCTTGCCCTCCCTGGGCAGCCTGTTCCAGTGCTCTGCCACTGTCAGTGTAAAGTTCTTCCTCACGTTGAGGTGGAACTTCTTGTGTTTTAGTTTATGGGGCCATTGCTCCTCGTCCTGTCACTGGGCACCGCCAAAAGGAGTCCAGTACCATCCTCTTGGCACCCATCTTGGAGATATTTATATGGATTAATGAAATCTCCTCTTAGTCTTCTCTCCTCTGAACTAACCAGGTCCAGCTCCTGCAGTCTCTCCTCATCAGGGAGATGCTCTTTAAATACACAAACTGCTGCTCAGGCTGCCCGGGGCCCCAGCACTGAGGTGAGGGGCTGGAGTGCACATCAGCAACTCCAAAAAACCCCCAAGACCAGAAAAGAAATGTTGAATAAAACTCCAAGGAACTTAATTAGTAGCTCCCCAAAAGAGATGTGCTCGCTTAATCTTATACATGCACGTATTTGCTGGGTTGTGTGTGACAAATATTGTTAAAATTGTAACTGCTCTAGGGTGTTCCTCAGCTGGTGTGTGGTGGGTTATGGTTCTGAAACAAATTCACCACAGGGAGATGGGGATTTACTCATGCTTTGGCTTTTATTTGTCTATTCGAGCACATTCTGAAAATTATTTCTGATTTCTATTCGCACTAAAATCCTTGGCTTTAGCAGCTCGGCCCTTTCATGTGTTTAAATTTACACCTTAAAAAATAGGAAACGAAAAAGTCGTGTCAGAAGTGGGATTCGAACCCACGCCTCCATACGGAGACCAGAACACCCAAACCCGCCGCGGGAAGGCGCGGAACGCCTTGAGTCTGGCGCCTTAGACCACTCGGCCATCCTGACACTGCGACAGCAGCGCCCACCGGGACTTATTTACCGCCCTTCTCACAGCCGTGCCCGCCTCTGTATCCTCTGGCCTCACACGGAGAGCCCGTCCGCGCCGGGGAGGTGCCGAAGAGCCGCCGGGTAACCGCGCTCTTTGTCGCGGCCGCGGAGCTCCGGCGGCAGCGAGGAGGAGCTCGGCGTTACCCACAGGCCCCCGCCCGCCGCCACTTCCGCCGCGACCATTTTGTTCTTCAGCGCCGTGAAGGGTACGCGCTCCGCTCGCACCATGTTCCCCGTGGCCAGGGCCGCGCTGAACCTCGCCGGTAAGGACGGGGGCGGCTCTGGGGGTGAGGGGGGTCCCGCGGGGGGTCTGCTCCGGGTCTGTGCCCTTCCCTGTCAGGACTGTCCTTCACAGCCCCCGGCTCGCTGCGCTCCCGGGAGGGTCGTGAGGGCACCTCAGGGGCTCTGGCGTTCTTCGCCTCCTGCTTTTTTTTTTTTTTCTTTCTGACTCTTTAATCTCCTAGTTGCTTTTTGACCTTGGATTCCCTTCCTCGGCGGTTTTTTTTCCTTGTAACTGGAGGCAGATCCGGATTTTGTAACCTGAGGTGACAAAGCATAGTCAATACCCATCCCTTAAACTCAAGGTTAAAGTTACCTCTTCAGTGATGCAGATTCCCCAGTGCTTAATCTGGGCCTCTAAAATCTGGTCCTGGTTCATGATGTGCTTAGCCCTAGGTGTTTGCACTTAAAGTAAACGTGTCTCTGTAGATATTCAGGCTTTTTTGTTTTATAAAACTGTAGTGCAGCCTCATAGAGCACGCGAGGGCTGTAATAACATTATGTGTATCGCCATCATCTTCTCTATTCATGGCTGGGTAAATGCAGACCGCTGACCTGGAACTAAAAGATTATAGTTTGTAAAGTCTATCTTTATGCACATGTCACTGTCTTATCAAAGACTTTGTACACAACTATAAACAATATTTCTGTTTTGTAGCTGGTTTGATTCTTCACTGTTGTCTTCTCCCTAATAATTGTAGCCTTTATAGTGTACATTTATAATGAACATCATCTGGAGATACCTTTTTGTATTTTATTCTCTGTTATTTACTTCATGCCCACAGTTATTTCCACTTCCTTCTTCACCTCCCTCCCCTCCTTTAAAAAATGCTGAAAGAATGAGGAAGGTGTTACCCATACCTGCTAAATTCAACCCCATAATTTGATGGTGAATTTCATCCTGAAAATGCTTATACTAGTTCCCATACTGACAGGATAGATATTTATATATGGAAAGCTGAAAATGTTATGTGCTAAGCAAAATATTTTATGAGAGAAACGGTAATATTTAAAAGGGTGCTTCCACACTGAAGGCCCAAACAAAACATATTGATGAAAAAGGTAACTGAGAGGATTGTTGGGTTTTTTTCACTGGAATTAGACTTAAAGAATAATTTTCTAGTGAGAAATTGAGAGTAAAAAAAAAAAAAGTAAAGGATTTTTGCATATTCTTTGTTTTGGAATCATTCCAGAGTTCTAAGTCCAAAAGATTAATTTTTTTTCAGCTTTTTTTAGTCTTTTAATGCTAATGCTTTCCTCTCTGGTGGTGGAAAATGAGGACTGTGAATGATTCGAGTGTATGTTTTAGTTGCTTTCTGTATTTCTCTTTAACATTCCTTAGCTCGTGGCATCCAGCACACTGCAGTCAGACAAGCTCACCGCAAGCATGAGCCGAACTTCCATGATAAATATGGAAACTTGGTCCTCCTTGGTGGAGCTGCTGTTTTCGTCAGTGTCTGGGGATATGTAAGTTGGTTTTTTTCACTAGTCAGTTGTGACTCCAGCTGTAAACTTCAAAGGTATCAAGTTTCATGAAGACTTGTTTGAAATAAGTTAAGTGGTCAGAATTTAGGAGCTCCTGCTGTAAATGAATAGGGATGTGATAGAGGTGAAAGTTGTGTTAGTTCATGTCTTGATTTTGAGTTGTTACACGAATTTCTGTGTCAGTCTATTGCCTAATTTGAAAATGTATGAGAAACACAAGTGATCTCTGTTTTACTTGGGATATCTAACCTATACAGGTACGGGTTTTAGTAGAAAAATTTCTAGATTAAAATACCAGTACGGTGATGGGATTTTAAATTCCAGATTCTTAGTGCTAAAACTGGGTATTTTGAAAGAGAAAGCTGAAATATTTAAATACTGTTCAATATAAGTATATTCCACTTGCTTTATTAGAAAATAATGAGGTGTTGTGTTCTAATACAAGAAATCTAAACTGAAAACAATAGAAATAGCCCTCTTTTGGAAGGTTTCCTTAATTTCAGAGTTAGTAATCTTGGGTTTTATGCTCTTACAGGTGCTAACATCGCTGGGAATGGAGTGGGGCTTGTCACCTGTTGGCAGAATCACTCCAAGAGAATGGAGGGAGTAACAGCCTCTGCTTCTAATGAACTGCTCTGAACTTTCACTGAGAAAATGGTCCTGTAATGGCATTTGTTCCCTGATTACCACTTGTGCAGTGGCATTCCTGGTCTAATAAACATACCTAGAAACCTGTCTGGCTCTTCTAGGTTTCCTCTATGCTCAGAGTCTGATGAAGTACAAGTAGTAGTGTAAAAATTTGAAGTACTTTTAGGTAATCCCAGTTGTTCCTGTAAAGTTCACCAGTGGATTAAGGACAAATCCAGAACTTTGCTGAGTTGGCCACTTGGCCAGATGTGTGTGTAAATCAACCTCACTGCATTCTCACTGCAGAGTGCACATCCTTTACCTCTGACTTGTAATGACAAAGCTGAGATCCCTTTTTTTTCCACAAAAGGATTCTTACATCTTGAATCACTCTGCCAGTAATTGCATCTGTGGCCTCTGAGTTGTGAAGAAACTAAATTCAGTTTTGAGTCAGGCTCCACGAGAAGAGGCAGTTTTGAGAAATGTGACTTTCCTAGTGAACTCATGGAATCACAGACTGGTTTGGGGTGGAAGGGACCTGGAAGCCCATCTTGTTCCAACCCCCTGCCTCTGCATTTAACTTCTGTGTAGGGTCAAAGTTATTAGAGAAATGAGGTGGAAAAACAACAGTTACTGGTTCATGCTGGTATTTGATTATCAGAGAATCTCAGGATGGTTTGAGTTGGAAAGGACCTGAGAGACCATCCAGTCCCAGCCCCTGCCATGGGCAGGGACACCTTCCACTAGCCCAGCTTGCTCCGAGCCCAGTTCAACCTGGCCATGGGCACTCAAGATTTGTTAGAAAATAGATTTGAGGTGTATGCAGACTCTGTAAATCTCCGCCTCAGTCTGAATCCCTGCAAAGCACTAGGGTGCTGGTTTTCATACCGCAGAGATGTGTGAAACGGCAGCGTTCCCTCCTCGGAGACTGTAACGGGGGTTCCTCGCCGAGCGCTGCTGCCCCTGCTGAGCCCTCCCTGCCGGGGCCCCGTGCGGGGCTGTGAGCGGCTGCTCCCGAGGCCGAGGCTCAGTGCGGGAGCCGGCCCGCAGCACCGGCCCGCGTTTGTTCCGCGGGGCCTGTCGCGACAGGGCCACAGCGATCGCGACCGCGGCGGCGCCGCCCCGCCCTCCGCCGTCACGTGACCGGCGCGTCACGTGCGCGGGGCGGGGGAAGGGCCCGGCGGGGCCCGGGCCGGGAGCGGCGGTGGGGACCGGGAAACATCCCGGGGAGGAGATATCCTGGTGAGTGCGGGCCGGGGGGGCGATATCCTGGGGAGTGCCGACCGGGGGGGCGATATCCTGGGGAGTGCCGACCGGGGGGGCGATATGCCGGTGGGTGCAGACCGGCCGATATCCCAGTGGGTGCGGGCCGGGGGGGCGATATGCCAGGAGTGCCGACCGGGGGGGGATATCCCGCTGTCCCAGGGAGTACGGACCGGGGGGGATATCCCGCTGTCCCAGGGAGTACGGACCGGGGCGGGGGGTATCCCGCTCTCCCGGGGAGTACGGACTGGAGCGGGGGATATCCCACTCTCTCGGGAAGTACGGACCAGGGGGGGATATCCCGCTGTCCCGGGGAGTACGGACCGGGGCGGGAGAATATCCCGCTGTCCCGGTGGGTGCGGACCGGGGGGGGATATCCCGCTGTCCCGAGGAGTACGGACCGGGGCGGGGGAATATCCCGCTCTCCCGGGGAGGTTTTCCCGGCGCTCCCGCGGGCGGGACGCGGTGCCGGGATACGGGGGGGAGATGGTACCGGGGAGGGTCCGGGCCCCAAAGACCCTTGGCTCGGGCGGGGTCTGTGCAGCCCCGCGGAGGGTCTCCGGTGCCCCCATCCCGGGGCGGTCGGGCTGTCCCGGTCCAGAGCAGTGTCCTGCTCAGCCCGGTGTGCCCGGCGGGCTCTGCTCGTCAGGGAACACCCGCATTTCCTTCTCCCTGGGCCGCAGGAATGTGCGCTCACTGGTGCTTTGGAAAAGGCCCCATTCAGCTCTTGTCAGTCGGCACAGAAAGACTCGTCGGGAATGTGAAGGCACACGGAGCCTCTCCCAGGGCCTCTTTTCCGGTTCTGAGCTGCTCGACTTGTCCCTCTGAAACATCTGACTTAGCGTTTTGCCTTATGTCACCTCATGCCACCTTATGACGGCAGCACTCTGTGCACAAGTACCTCTTTTCCAGTGTTTTCATTAAAAGCATCGTGTAAATGTTCTGGAAAAGGGCAGAAAGTTGTCTGTGATACTTTGGGGTAAAATCTTGTGAAAATGAGCAAGAGCAAGACAGCTGTAACCGTTGCCTCTCTGTGTGCATGTTCTGGAAATTGCACATAATTAGTGTAAAGTTGCTTAAAATCTTTCATGCAGTCAGCAAAGATTGTATTTCTGTACTTAAATACTTGTTGAATTGTGTTTCTGGAGGTAAATAGGCCAAGATTTGGTAATGTGGGAGGTAGTTGTGTGTATTACAATGCACTGTGTGAGCACAAAGACAATTTGATTAGAAATTAATTATTTTAGTGTATTTCCTTATAGAGAAAAGTCATGAAGGTGTTTTACTTTCAAGATGGCAAATCAGGGAAGCGAAAGTTAGCATTGCATGTCATTTACTCTTTTATTCTTATTTTCACTTGTATAATGCATTTCACATTGTTCTGCCAAGTAGTTTGAGGCCAAGCTGAAGAGTGAGGAGTCCTAGTTGGCCTTAGTATGCTCACATAACAAGAGCTTGTACATTATATTCTATTCCTAGTACTTGCTACGTCTCTTCCAAGGGAACATTCGTGTTCTCTAAAAATCTAACTTGAAGAGGTAGTGGAAGCTCACAAAAAAGTAAAAGGATTTGCAAAGGATTTGTCTCAAGTGCTATAAAACCCCTGTAAGAAATGAAGCAGAATGTTTTCAATATGTACTTTTTTTCCCCATGCAGTTTATATAGAAATAAGTTCCCTGAGAGCAATTTCCATCGTCTGCTGACCAAGCAAGGCTTGTTAGAGTCTTGAGCAACACGAATTACAGCCGGTTTAGAGAGTCACGTAGCTCTGACATTTATTACAGATGCACAGTTTCTCTCTCAATGATTAAGCCTCGTATATCCATGAGAGTATCCAGAATATCTCCTATCTAGTCACGCTTTCAAATGGCTCTGTTTGCCCATGAACCCTATAAAAGCTCGTTCTGTGTTGGATGCCATCTTCTGGAGCACTTTTTAAGTCCAAATGTGAGATGATGCAGCTTTTTCCTTTCTTGCTGCCCTTTGCTCTTTTCCACAGGTCCCTGCAGTCCTTTAGGGACAGGCACCTTTTTTCCATTTAATGTAATTAGTAATTTAGCTTTCTGCTACCATTAATACAGTAAGCTAAGTAGCACTTGACCATTTGGAAATTTAATAAAATCCAAAGGCTGTAATTAAGCCTGACAGATTCTGTTTCTGGTGTTTGTGTGATTTTTACCTCTTTAAGTTTCAGCAGCTATAAATTACATATAAAAATATAAAATCTAATTATATACAGAGAACTTTGGTGGAAGGTGGTGCTGTACACTTGGCCAGAAGCGTGGTGTCTTTCCCTGTTCTGTGTCCCTGCTGATCCCAGAACAGAACACTGTGCTGCCTGGGTTAGCTCGGATGTTAGAAACACCAAAGTGTTTTTTGTGGGGTTCAGTGGGACTCTGGGGTTTTACCAAGTGTTGTAACTTCCTCTTTGCGTTGCCTCTTTATGTTTTTTTTTAATTTTGTTTTTTTGCGATAGTGTGGGTTTATGAATTACTTACCTCTGACTTCATCAAACTTATTTGCTTCAGATATTTTACTTACAGTGACTGCTGTTAGCACATCTCCAAAAAATATGGAGATGAATATGAGTGTCTCAGTCACCTTGTGCTTTTTCACTGTTGAAATTTCCTTTCCGTAGGAAGAAATTGCTGTTGGAAGTAGAAATTACTTCTTTCAATTGTTTCATTCTTCGTAGAAACACCAGCTGACTTTCTTCAAGAAAATGAAACTAAACACAGAGCTGTTAAATTGTCAGGGGAACTGCCATTCCTTTGTATTGTCAAATCCTAAAATGCTAATTGATGGTAAAGGTGTTTTATAGATGAAGCAATGCCTTGCTTAAGATAGAACCATTATTTTTCTCTAAAACACATGCAATCCATAACTTAGCTTCTAACTTAAAAGGATATATCCACGATAACTTTAATTTAAATTTATTTCTTAGCAGACATTTGCCTTGAAGTCAGTAGTTGAGACCTTTGATCAACTTTTAAAACACTTCTCAGCACCTGCAAAGCTTTTTAGATGTTGCAGAAGTTCGTTGGCTGTTTCAGCTGCATCTGCCAGAACCATAACTGTCCTTTGTAGGAAGGGGTTCTATTTTCAGATAATGAATATATATATATATATGTATATATACGTATGTGTGTATATATATGTGTAAAAAATGGAGTGAGGAATCACACAGATGGAGTGATGGGTGGCAAGAGTGAGGACACAGGGTGTTCCAAGTTGAAGCAATTGCTGTGGTATCCATGGATTGCTGCACAGTCTCATGCAGATCTTTTGGCTTCTACATCTGCTTTAATGTGAACTTGGTAAAATATTAACACATACAAGGAAAACGAGGATTAAATTGTTATTATTCATACACCTCTTGTGTGCATCTAGTTATAATTTATTGGTGCAACAGATATTTTTCAGTCTGCTTAGTTATGAATTTTCTTAATTTCATGCTGTCAGGAGGAGGAAATATGACAAAAATATTCCTTTCAAGTTTCAGCTGAAGTATGTTTTCCAGGAAGCACTTGTGAGGGAGGCAGAGCATTAGAAATGGAATGGAATATGACAAGGTACTGTCTCAGCTGTAAGCATGTGTTTAACTGCTTGTCCTGGGCATTTTGTAAGGGGAGGAGGAAGGATGTGTGTATTCTCACAGTCACTGTGTAAACCCTATACTTTGTTCCAAGAACAAGATTTCTTTGAAGCATCAGGAGCACTGGAAATTCAGGCAATGTAGTCTTCAGAAATTTCATTAAGGCTGTACAGAAAACTGAGGTTGTTAATGAGCTGGTTCTTAATTCAGTGTTAATAATATAATGTGACTGATGTGAGGAGGCAGTAATGCTCTCAAATGGCTTATTGAGATTTGGACACGTCTCATTTTTTAGAGAACGGCCTGTTTTTTAAAATTAGTATAAAAATTGTTAGCAACTTGCAACAATGTCAATAAAAGTCCTTGTTGGTCGTTTTCCCCAGCAGCAGAGAGCTGTGAGTGATGCACGTCACAGACAGCCAGGGTGTTTCTGAACTGAAAGTCAGAGAACAAAAAGAAGAGGCAACTTGGTCCAACAGATGAATTCTGTTGAGGGAAGTTCTGGATTCAGTCCTGGTATTCTGGGGCCTTGAGGGGTAAAAAAGGAAAAAGAAATTTGCCTTTTTTTTCTTTCCTTATGTCTTTATGCTTTTTGCATGTTTGAATTGCAGTCTCTTCCAGGACAGGGTATTCTCTGCTGTGTTTATGAATGAACAGCAGAAGGGCAAGGAAGCAGACTGAGAAAATGGAGGAAATACTTTGTGCATGCAAACTATAATAATAATAGATAGGAAAAAAGTCTATTGTTATTTTCACATATGTCAGCAGCTGGGTTTTTAGTGCATTGGTGGGCATTTGGTACAGTGCTGATGGTTAATGTAATCTCTTTAACAGTGCTGGTTCACTGGCCACAGGCTGCTCTTACTTCATCATAGGACCTCAAAAAAAGACTTTAACACAGTATCCTAGTTTCTGTAAAGATGAATATTTTTGTCCTGTAGTTTGCCAAAGAACAGGCAAGTCAGCAGGCTCTGACTTAGAGCTGTTTCCCAGTTCTAAAGCAGCGTCTTGCCAACCTTTGATTGTTTTAGATAGCAACTCACAGTTCCAGTATTTCCTTATTTTTGTTTTCAAAATACAGTAATTGTGCCAGTTGTCAGGGCAGTTCAGGTTGATCGTGTACCTGAAATGCTTTTAACCTCATGTCTGTCCAAACCTGACTGGAGGACAGACTGTCTCTGTCTGTGACAGTCCATTGTGTCTCATTTTAGTTAGTTCTGTGTGCCTGGTTGTGTTCACAAAGTGCACTCTAAGTCAAGTACTTCTTGCAACTTTATTTGCACTTCAGGCTTGTGGGAATATTCGGTTGCTCCCAGAGTGTGGAGTTACAATGATGTCTTTGTTTGCTCTGTGTGGACTGAGCATTCCTCGGGGAAGAGCTGAGGTAATCAGGGAGGATCACATTTCAACATGACATGAAAACAAGTATTTTCTTGGGTGACTTACAGAGTTTTTTAAAGTACCTCCAAGTGTGCAGAGGAGTCTGAGAAAGGACCTGCTGTATGAAATTTGCTTAAAATACACTCTTCTGCTGATTGATAATTCTTATGTGTCAGGTGACAATTCTGTATTTCTGTAAGGTGTGAATATTTACATACAAACATTTATGTGTGTGTGAGAAGTGAGATCTGTAATAACTCTTCAGATGTACTTGTCTTATTTCTGTTCTTAGCAGGGTCGAGATGTATTTCATCCATTGAAAAAGTCACTAATTCCCAGTTTTATACTGTCTTTGCTTCTTGTTTATTAAGTTTCAACATTTAGTTTTGTGCATCAGGGAGGTAAAACCTGTTTCTATGATGAAACTTCTTGTCTTCTTACATGGTTTGTAACACAACTCAAAGTGAAACCAGAAACTTCCAGACCTTCTGTAACAGGGAACAACTTGGAAATGTCACCAAGGAGCAAGAAAACTGATTTTACTCAACATTGTTAATGTAATTTAGTTTTACAAGATAGGTCTTCAGGATAAGAAAAATGAATTAAGCAGGTCTTAACTTCAGCTCTTCAATTAGGCATCACATTTTGCCAGACATTAACTGTGATCATTTTCCTGGTCACTAACCTCTCTGTCATTGGAAATATAATGCAAATTTTCAAAATGTTAAGAAAAAAAATCTGAAAATCACTTTTTTTGCCCTCTTTCCACCTGAGTCACTAAACAGTTTTTTCATTTGGCAAAAGGAGTCCTTTGCATTAGCTGTTATTTCTACAAATTGGTTTCATTTAGGTTCAGTAATTTTTTCTGGGCATGTTTTTATGAGCAAAAATAATAATGATGCTCTTCAGAGTATCTTTCTGTACAGCTTTGCTCATGTTTTAGTGTCTACTAGAGTTACATGTGGCTAAGTATGACATTTGTTAAATCACAGACTCATGGAATGGTTTGGGTTGGAAGGGACCTTAAAACTCATCTTGTTCCAACCCCTGCCATGGGGACACCTTCCACTGCATCCCTGTTTTCGTTTCAGTCCTCGTGAAATGATTTAAGAACTAATGTCTCACTTGTTTTTAGCCAACAGCAATGAGAAGACTGGGGTAGAAATTCACAATGGAGGCCAAATCCGTGCTCATCGGTGTGGAGGGGATGACCTGCAATTCCTGTGTTCAGACCATTGAGCAGCATGTTGGGAAGATGAATGGAATCCATAACATTAAAGTGAGTATTACTGTCACTGTTTCTTACAAAGCTTTGTTCTTATATGAGAAACCATGATAAATTTTGCACCAAGGGAGGAAAATAATGTGGGAAGAGTATATTCTGAGTGTTTCAGGGGAAGCTGATGTTGGAGATCCATTAGTGTAGTTCTGGTATATAAGAGAAAACAAGTGTTTACTTTCCTGCAGTGGGAGCTAAGTCATTATCTGTTGCTCTTAATTAATTTTCTGCTTTACAGTTAATTCAGTATTGTGGAGTAAAGGGAAAAAAAGTAAAAAAAGGCAAGAACAATAAACTCTAAAATAAAATAAAGCAAAAGCCCTAGAACTTGCACTGGTGAAAAAAGGGAGCTGTCCTTGTCCCTTATGCTGCACAAATGTCAGTATTTGCTCAAAAGCCCACAGGCCTTTTCTGTCCAGCTTATGGTGCACAGAGGTCACTGGCACAGGTCAAACATGCTTGTGGGCTTGAGGTGTCCTGTTAATTGTGGGGTAGTTGACTCACCATGGAAAAAAAACTGTTCTGTTGTGATCCATGAAATAAGAGTAGCAGGAAATCCAGTAACATAGGAAAGTCTTGACAGGTCTTAGAAGTTTCCTTTCCTTTGTACTGTCCATGAGGAAATGAGAGAAAGGGCAGCAGAACTGTAATCTTGAACTGCTCACAGACCTTAAGGTTTGCCCTAATCCATGTTTCCTTGACCTGCCTTGATTTTAACTTTTTTTCTTAGCTTGGAGGAGAGATCAGTATTTTGTTAGTATTTTTTTTGTCATGGGCAAAGCAGTGGACTGTAGAGTATTCCAGGATGAGCTGATTATCCCTATACAGTACATAATTTTATGGTAGATTTATTAATGGAAACAATTTAAAAGCTGGGAGATTGCTGTTAATTTTGTGACCCAATCTGTGGTAGAAAGAACAGTCTTATTAATATCAGCAACAGAAAACTGCAAAGTTTAATTATTGAGTATGTTCTGAAAACATGCTGTAGCATTCTGTAGTGGTTGATTTTACTCCAAAGAAAGCACTGTCTTCCTGGTTTCATCAAAAGTTAATTTCTATTTTAGTAGAAATGCCTTTGACGAGCACTTTTCTTCTCAGGACTGGGCACATTGTCTTAATTTGGGGTGCATGTGATCATTACCTGTAGCTGGTTTTGAAGGGTTCATCGTGGTGCACTTTCCCTGCAGAGGCAAGAGAGGCACTAGTTCAGTGCAGTTTCCTTTTATCTGAAGTAGATGTTCCTGTACACACGTGGAAATTTTGGTGAAGAGCAGCAATATTTACAAGACACATAATTTTTCATCTTCCTTCAGCTGTAGTGGAGCTTTAATGTGGGTCTGTGCTCTGACACCAGGACCTTGGAGCACTGAGCAGCCCCTCTGTGCGTGGTGAGATCAGTCACTGGGTGTCTGCCGGCGTGGAGTCAGATGAAGGCTAAAAGCAGCCTGTAAAATACCCCCAAATAATTGGATTTCAGAATCCAATTTCTCTTTTTTCTAGCAGAAAATCTCGTCAGCCTTGTGTTTTCTCAGCTATTTCTGAGAATATACAGTTGACTTCAGATAGAAGAGGGAGGAGAGATTTCTGCTTTAACTTGATTCCAGACAATGTGCATCCCATACTGTCTTTTACATAAGGAATGAAGCAGATTTTTAAAAGGACAATATTAAGAGTTCTATATTTAGGTTTTAAGGTAAATACCTTATCCCAAAGCTGAATACTGTTTCAAAAACTGTATGACAGAAATGTAGCCTGAGTAGAACAGGACTCTAAGAAACGTAAGAGGACGTATTTAGTAATTATCCTCTTTACAGCATCAGAGCTACAGTTCAGTCAGATCATTTGACTCAGAAAATTCTCTGAAAACAGTAAAACAGGATTTTATTTAGTAATTATGAATAAGGTCAGCAAGGGGTGGGAATGTTAGATGGCTAATACAGACAAACAGCTGCTCTTTGATTATTTTGCCTCCAACTGCAATGAAACCAATAAATGTCCATGTTGCTAATTCTACAAGGACCCATAACTGGGACAGAAATGAGGAGAGGTGGTTCTTAAAATGATTTAACTGGTCTAATTTAATCATGACTGTGATCTTTAGGTTGTACCTCTGCCCAGAGGAAAGACAGAATTGAATTGGTAATGTGTTGGGCCTCTGGCAGGCTTCGTTTTTTCCTTTTGGAAACTGCAATTATTATATTTGATTTATCATCCCTTGGGAGAAAATTAAATTGAGGATATTTGTACCATCTAATGGGAAAGGTTAATACCAAATCAGGACGTCTCTGGATCACCCAAATGTACAGAGAGAGGAAAAACAGCTTCTTTAAGGTTTGTCATATATCAGGTTTCCAAACCGAATTTTGTTCAGTGAAGTCTGATGCAGGTTTTTGCTCACAGCAAGTTACCAGCTTGTGCCTCCCATGCCTGGAAGTACTGGGCTCCTTCCACTGCTACTTAAAGCTGTGGTTTTTTTCAAGGACTGTTTGCTTCCATCCTTGTAGCCTGAGGGTAATTACTGCTAACTGCATTAGAATTACTGCTAACTGATTTGAATTTTTGCTGTGGGCTCTTTTGGGTTCATCATCATAATTCAGGAGAATTTGGCTCTGGAAGTTTCATTAAATGCATTGGTGCTGTCTGGATGTCGTGAGTAAAAGTGGCCAGACAGGCTTGGAAAGGATTCTGAAACTGGGAGTAAGGAAGGAGTGGGATCTCTTCTTTCCAGCCCGGCTGTTGCACAGAAGAGAAGTCACTCAGTGGTGGCTGCTGGTATGGCTTTGCTCCTCAAGGTGAGGAGTGAGGGATGAAGTTATACTAGACAAGTGTTACTAATATTTGCAAGTAAAAGCAATTTCTAGTCTCATGCAGTATTGGTAACTCTTCATATTGCAGTTTGCTAAATTGTTGTGTTTATTGCCTCCCAAGGTCTCTCTGGAGGATAAGAATGCTGTCGTCATTTATGACTCCAAGCTCCAGACTCCAGTGACACTGCAGGAAGCCATCTATGACATGGGATTTGATGCTACACTGGCTGATTCAAACCCACAACCTGTTATACCTGACACTATTTTCCTTACCATCCCTCCCCAGTCAGCCCTAACAACCAGACAGATCTGTACCACACTGCTGAAGAACAAAGGGATCCTGGACGTGAAGGTCTCCTCTGACCAAAAAACTGCAGTGGTGACTTTCATTTCTTCCATCATAAATGGCAGGCAGATTATCCACATGGTCCCAGGAGTAGATTTAAATATCTCTGCAGCAGAGGTGACCCCTGGACCTTGGGAAGATCCCGTCTGGTCTCAGGCGAGCAGTGTTGTGCTGCGCCTGAAAGTGGAGGGGATGACCTGTCACTCCTGCACCAGCACCATCGAGGGCAGGCTTGGGAAACTGCAAGGAATTCAGAGGGTTAGAGGTAAAACCTTAGTGTATCTTTGTGTAATTTGGCCCTGCTGTTCTTTGCTGGCATTGTGGAGATGCCTGGTGTTCACGTGAGAGAGCTGAGTGTGTGACTGTTTGTGGTACTGGGTATTTAGTTACATGTTTAATTTGAACTAGAAGTAAAGAAATGGGCCCAAATTGTGGGGAGGCTGCTGCTGTTACGTGTGACAGTATTCAGTTGTTGCTTTGTGTCTTGGTTGGGAGCCTGGAGTAGTTGTGCTCCATAACTTTATTACCAGTTACAGAAATCTCTAATACAAGATGTTGGATTTACGTTTTAATTATTATTAGTTTATCTTTTCTGTTAAATTAAAAATTTATATTGTCATGCATATAATTGTATCTAAAAGGCAAGATCAGCTTATCTGTATAATTAGCTTTGGCATTAATGTATTGCCACAGAACCTAATAAAAGGGTAAATTTAATAAGTACCGATGCCATTTGTGAAAGTCCTGGAGAAAGAGCAAAAAATTGAGGAAAAGAGGAGTTGAAAATTGTTGTAGTACTAGACAAAAAAATGGTTGAAGAAATAAGTTTTGGTATTTACCAAACCAATGAAATCTCCTTTCTGTTGCATTTGCTTCTATGACCATTTAAAGTGTTCTTGGAAAGCCTTGACAAGACCTGTGTATGTGCTCGTTATGTTTAGGGCAGTAACACACACTTTTGTTCATTTATTTTCTTGGTTAATTTATTTTTTGGTTAAATTTCAGTGTCTCTGGACAATCAGGAAGCTGTTGTTATCTACCAGCCTCACCTAATTACAGCAGAAGAAATAAAACATCAAATTGAAGCAGCAGGTTTTTCAGCATCCTTCAAAAAGCAGCCCAGAGCCCTGAAGCTCAGTGCCATTGACCTGGAGAGGCTGAGGAATGCTCAGCCCAAAGGCTCTGAGCCAGCACAGAGGGAAAACTCCAGTGGGGCTGGGAGCAGGACAGTTGTGTTCAGAGTGGATGGGATGCACTGCAATTCCTGCGTCCTCAACATCCAGGGCGCTGTGTCAGCACTCCCAGCAGTAACAGGGGTCGTTGTTTCATTAGAGAAGAAATCTGCTGTTATAAACTATAACCCAAACTTAATTAGCATAGACAGGCTGAGGAAAGCCATAGAGGCCGTGTCTCCTGAGACGTTCAAAGTCAGCCTTCCTGAGGAGTATGAAAACGTGGCACTTTTCCCCCCGCTGGCATCTCCCCCGAAATCTCACCCAGCTCTGAAGGATCCCAGCCAGCCACTTACTCAGGTTGTTGTGATCAATATTGAGGGGATGACCTGCAGCTCTTGTGTGCAGTCCATCGAGGGAGTCATATCCCAAAAGCCAGGTGTGAAATCCATTCATGTCTCTCTCTCAAATGGAAACGGGACTATAGAATATGACCCGCTGCAAACAAGCCCAGCAGACCTGCGGTCCTCAATAGAGGACATGGGATTCGATGCGTCCTTTCCAGGTAATAACATATTAAACTTTTAAATTCAAAAGGATTGTCCATTTTTTTTAGCCTTTGGTACGACCCAAGATGAAATTCAGCAGCTGACACACACTTTGTGCTTGCCAAGCTTTCTATCTTCTCTGCCAGTGAGATAATTAAAGATACGTGCACAGCCTTTAATACATCAGATTAATTAAAATAATTGATATGCCTGGAAATATAAATGTCAGATAAATATTGATGTTCAAATACTGTTCCTGTTTGCTGCTTTATAATATTCATGGCATGAATGTGGAATTGTAGCTTTGCTAGCTGTGAAGAATATTATGGATCGCTGTGCTCAAGTGTCTTTAATATTGAATTATCTAAGTCTTGGCTCCTGTGGACTAACTAGTGAAGGGAGATTTAACCAGGCTCAGGCATGACTGAGGAGTGACAAGAGTCTGAAGAGTGTGGACATCACTCAGAATGTTAAAATGATGCTGCTGTGGGAGAACCCTGGTCAGCAGCTCAGCACCAACCACCCACTTGCTCACTTCCCCGTGGTAGGAGGGGGAAGAGAAGGGTATAAGAGAAAAACTTTGTGGATTAGATAAAGATAGGTTTAATAGGTGGAGCAAAAGTTGCCCCTGCAAGCAAAGCAAGGAATTAGTTAATTACTTCCCGTGGGCAGGCAGATGTTTGTCCATCCTTGTGGGTGGGCTGTCCTAGCTGTGCCCCTCCCAAATTCTCACCCCCACCTCCAGCAAATATGAAGAGAGGCTTCCTGAGGGAACAGGGAACCTCCACTTGTTGTTTCAGTAAGATTAAATATCAGTAAATACAGTACATGAGCTATTTTATGGCAATAACTGAAGAAGTGGTTGGGTGCTCCCATTTAGTTCCTTCTGCCCTGCTCCTGCACAAACACAGCATTCCCTGAACTGCTGCAAGGAGCAGATGTCTCTAGTTCCAGAGCCCTTCTCTAAGGTCAAAATCACTGACTTTGCTTATGAAACATGCACTTGCTTACAGATTCAGCTTTGTGCTCCAGGTGAAGTCAATAAAATTGTGTGTAAAACTGAGGTTGCAATGCAGAGATTCCACTTACAGCCTAGAGAAGAGGACAAAGGATGTGCAACAGAACAAAGACAGTGAGGAAAGGCAAAAGGGAAACCAGTAACAAAACAGTGAGTTAATCAGTGGCCCAACCCTTTGTCTTATTTTCTTTTGCTGACTCTGACTCCACAGCCAGGTGGGTGGATCTGACTGACAGGGCACATCCAGTTTCCATTTTCAGTGTAAAAGCAGAGCAGTCTGTAATGCCAGCTCACACCTCATTGCAGTGCCTGCTCATGAGGTCATGAACTGCAATCTCCTTTCCAGCAAAGGCAGAACTGCCTGTGGCCAAAGCTCAGCCCTCACCTGAAGCACAGCTGGACTCTCACAAACCTGAGCCATCCTCCAAAGTGCCCCCAGCCCAGCTCAGGAGGCAGGAGACAAAGACCATCTCCAAGTGCTATGTCCAGGTGACAGGAATGACGTGTGCTTCGTGTGTAGCCAACATCGAGAGGAATTTGAGAAGGGAAGATGGTAAGATGTGTGTCAGTGTGAGCTGCTACATTTCTGTTTGTTTTGGAGAATCCATCTGGCTTTGGCACAGTGTTTTTCATGGCTGGGTTGTCAGGAGAAGGACATTGCAGGTTTCCAGGAGTGAGAACAGCCTGCTCACCTCTGGCCTATGGGAAGGGAACAGGGTCGTTCTTGCTGCTTTATGGACATGCTGGCCAGGGACTGCCCTTACAAAAACAGCACCTGAGTGCTCCAAAGAGTGTAGGGATCAAATCTGGGTCCTTTTGAAAGGAAAACAAACCTTTCCTACTGGAGGGAGGTGCCCAGGTGTGCAGCTGAAAGGCAGAAGCAACTGGGGAGGGAGTTATTAGAGGGGGACAGTATTAGTGTGGATTAAAGAGACACAAGTTAATTTTAGCTCTGGCAGTCAGGGCATGCATGTCTGTCTGATTATATTTGCAGGAACAAACGGCTGCATGACTGTGATGTAGCAAACAGTCATTAATGCAGACTGTGTTTAATTATTGTAATGAAGGTGGGTGTGTTCCAGGTTAACCCAGATTTTAATTTTTTTATCCTAGAAAATGGATGAATCTAAATCCTTTCAGTGTACAATAGGGTTGACTGTTAGATCTGCCCTTTCTTGTGCATGTTCTCCCTTGAAGAAAAGGCTTCTAGAAGTAGTAAATGCAGATCAGAAAAAGATATAGCACTATATTTTAGAAGAACTTCTTTGGAGTAAAAATAGATCATCTTTTCATATAGCGTGGACAGAATGTTTGTAATTTGGCTGTTAGAAACATGCCACTCAGGGGGAGCAATGCTTTCATCTGTCACACCTACACTGAGGTGCTGTGGTTGTGCTGTTGGTGTATCTTCCAAAAATGAACATGTTTTTCTTGATTTGCAGTATGGTACCTTTCCCAATTTCAAATTGTGTCATGCCCTCCTGTTACCGTAAGTGCAGGATTTTTCCTAAACCTGATCTGCTGCTCATGCATTTTGTTTCCCAGGAATACATTCAATCCTCGTTGCCCTCATGGCAGGAAAGGCAGAAGTGAGGTATAATCCTGCTGTCATACACCCTTCAGCTATTGCAGAGCTCATTCGGGAGCTGGGATTTGGAGCCACCGTGATGGAAAACTGTGGTGAAGGAGATGGAATTCTGGAACTTGTTGTAAGTTAGTAATTAAAACCTGACACCCTCAGCTTCTGTTGCTTTTATCTACTGGATGCACTTGTGCAAGTGTTCCACTTCCTAGAGTTTAATCATATAATAGAGCTTATTGCACAAAAAGTTAAAATATAGGAGTACCTCAGGTGTGTATCACAAATGGTATCTGGTCCTGCAAACTCTTCTGGCTCACTACTACTACACTGAAATTGGAGAAATATTCCTGTATTTTTCTGATTGCTCTGCTTATTGCCAGAATTTACTTTTTGAAGGTGAGTCTGGCTCTGTGTACCCAGCTCTGAGCTTGAAGAGCCAACAGAGCCTTAGCAGAGCTTAATAACCTTGTCTCTATGCTCTGCTTCCTCTAGGAGGGTTGGATGGGCCCCTGAGCAACACGATTTTTGGGAGGCATCCCTGCCCATGGCAGCAGGTTGGAACTAAAGGGTCTTTAAGACCCCTTCCAACCCAAACCATTCTGTGATTCTATAGTTTATCCTTAGCTAGAGCTCCATCTCACCACTTCAAACCCCAGAACAAAGCAATAAATAAGGGAGGATAGTCACAAGGTCTTTTCCTGCTTTTTAAGATGCATTTACCAGATAAGCTGTGGTTTTAATAACAGGAAGGAACCTTTATTTTTCAGGTGAGAGGGATGACATGTGCTTCTTGTGTGCACAAGATAGAATCCACCCTCATGAAGACTAATGGTGTTTTATACTGCTCAGTGGCTCTTGCAACCAACAAAGCACACATCAAATATGACCCTGAGGCTGTTGGTCCTCGAGATGTTATACAAGTGATAAAGGTGAGAGTCATTTAGGTGCCAGGTCTCATAAAATATCCAGTATCCTTTGAAGAGTTACACACCCCAGAAACAGAGGGGAAGGCTATTAAAGCAAAAAAATAGGTCTGTCTCCTTCTATCTGCTTTCTTCTTAGTGCAGGTTTTTGTAACTAATACATGTGTTCTGGCTCAGAAATGCTCTGTTACAACTTTACCTAAAACCTTTAAACAGAAATACTATAAAAACCAGGCTATGGTAGAGTTGGAGATACCAACTCAGCTTTCTCCCTTCATTTCTCTATGTCTGTGCTTCAGGAAAAACCATTTTGGAAAGCCATGTTTTAGAAAAGCATTTTATTCTAGAAAGATTGATTTTTACAACAGATTGCTTTTCTCTCTTTGCAAGGTAACTAAACAATAGTAACTATTGCATCAGAAATGTTAATAAAGTAAATCAAAGATAAGGCTGGCACCATATCAGTAATCTGGCAATAACTGACCACAAAGTGTATTTTAAAACTGACTGTTCTCTTTTTTATTATGCTTTTTTTCCTTAGGATTTAGGTTTCACTACTTCCTTAGTCAAAAAGGATAGATCTGCTAGTCATCTGGATCACAAACAGGAAATCAGGCAGTAAGTATTCCTGAACATATTTAGATTCTGTAAATATCTTTGATTCTTCTTTTTTAAATCTATGGGGGTTTTTTGTGACTGTCCAGAGTTGCTGGTTAAAAAGTTCTCCAGCACTTGACTCCAATACAAGTTGTTTTTCTTCTTTCTCTTTTTAAATCCAAGGTGGAAGAGGTCTTTTGTCGTGAGCTTTGTTTTCTGTATCCCTGTCATGGGGCTGATGATTTACATGATGGTGATGAACGGTCATCCTTCGGATGCTCACACACATCACAACATGAGCAGTCAGGAGAGGGAGGCCTCTCACTCCTCTATGGTCCTGGATTACCAGCTCCTGCCAGGATTGTCTGTTATGAATTTTCTGTCATTTTTGCTCTGTGTCCCTGTACAGGTAAGTGGGATTATGACAACTCCTGGTTAGTTGGGTTTAGACACTCAAACTGGAAGGCTGTGAAGAAAGTAAATTTGGAAAGTGAGTATAGTGCTGATGCAAAACTCTTTTGAGGTTGCTACGTGCTTTTGCTGTTGCCAAAATAATTGGTGCTAGAGACTGTCATGGGCAGGGCAGTCAGTGCCCAGGGGTTGGGCACCCAAAAAGCACCTGAGGCAGCTGCTGAGCCACACCAGTGGACACGGGGAGGAGGTGGGAGTACCTGAGAGTGCTGTGGAGGAGATCACAGCCCTTGGCTAGAGCTGGGATTTTGCTCAGGAAGAGATGGTGAAGGCAAATAGCACAGATCACCCGTGTCTCCCTCTCTTATGGAAATGCTGCTGTGTGTGTTACGAGTGTGTGTAAAATACACTCTGTTGCAGGTGTTTGGAGGGTGGCACTTCTACATCCAGGCGTACAGGGCACTGAAACACAGCACTGCAAACATGGACGTGCTCGTTGTGTTGGCCACCTCCATTGCCTTCCTCTACTCCTTCGTTATTCTCCTGGTGGCAATGGCTGAGAAAGCAAAAGTGAACCCTGTCACGTTCTTCGACACCCCCCCGATGCTGTTCGTGTTCATCTCGCTGGGCCGGTGGCTGGAGCACGTGGCAAAGGTAAGGAAAATAAAAACCCGTGATAGCTACAAGCTGCAAGACTAGGAATCATTTCAGAATCTCCTGTATATTTAAAAAATGTCCCATGAAAAAGCTTTGTTAGGTTCTTTTAACCTTCTGTGCTGTAAAATCATCTTTAGTAACTGAACTAGTAAAAACATGAAATGACTTGTTATCAGTCTGTGTTTTCTTAATGGGGTAAATTGCAACACATGCAGTTGTCATTTACCCAGCTTTTTTTTTTTCAATAGTATAGTCAGAAAAATATGAAAATTATTATTCTAGGGTAAAACCTCAGAAGCCCTGGCAAGACTAATTTCATTACAAGCTACTGAAGCTACTATTGTTACCTTGGGCCCTGATAACGTTCTTTTAAGGTATCTTGCTTTGTCATTTGCTTTTTCTGTTGTTCCTTTTTTGCTGTTAATATGCCTAATTCACAGATAAATGTTACCATTCGATAGAACCATGAAGCAAATAACTTCAGATTTGCTGGCAGCTAAAAATGTTAAAATGCAGAAGAATTAACACTGCTCTAATTTGGTTTATTGACTTACTGCTGATTTTTGCTGTGATAAGACAATTAGTGGATTTTCTTAACTGGAAAGTAAATAAAATTATGATAAAATAGTCATAGTCTTCTTTAAAATGGCCTTTTTTCTGCTAATTTTTGTATGCATTAACTGTGTCAAGCAGTGGGATTGTGCTTTGTGTGTAGTGACAGCTCCTTTTGCACTGGGTCACTTGAGTTACATTTCTTACTAAAAAACATTTCCATCATTCCAGTGAAGAGCAAGTCGATGTTGAGCTGGTTCAACGGGGTGACATTGTCAAAGTGGTCCCAGGAGGCAAATTCCCAGTGGATGGTCGTGTTATTGAAGGCCACTCCATGGTAGATGAATCACTCATCACAGGTGAGCGTTTGCTCTCTGCAAATGTAAAAACGTTCTCCTTTAGACAAACGTGAAGAAGGGAAGATGGAACTGATGTTCTCACTGTCATTAGGAGTTGGTGGCTGTTACCAAGGTCCATTTTTCAGCCCTCTGTTGCTGCCCTTCCCTCAGGTGAGGCGATGCCTGTGACTAAGAAGCCTGGCAACACCGTCATTGCAGGGTCCATCAACCAGAACGGGTCCCTGCTCATCGCCGCCACCCACGTCGGGGCTGACACCACCCTGTCCCAGATTGTTAAACTCGTGGAGGAGGCCCAGACCTCAAAGGTAGAGTATTATCAAATTCACATTAGGCACACCAGCACACCACATCACTTGAGGAGTGGCTGAGTTTGTTTAGATTTGAATTGCATAATGAAGGTTCTTGCTGATTAAGGACTTTGATACAGGCTCCTGTGCCAAACCTCATCCTTTTATGAAGTCAGTGTCTAATTGTAAACTGTGGTGAGCCAAGTGTGCTGCAGCAGCTGTGACTGTGTCTGGCACAGAAAGGAGTCACCGTGATGCTGCTGAGTGACCTGTTTCTCCTTCCCAGGCTCCCATCCAGCAATTTGCAGACAAACTTAGTGGCTACTTTGTTCCTTTTATTGTGGCTGTCTCTGTGGTTACCCTTCTTGCCTGGATTATAATTGGGTTTGTGGATTTTGGAATAGTGGAAAAATACTTTCTGGTAAGTAAATCTCCTTAAACACCTTCTGAAATATTTCATAAATAGCCTTACAATTCTGTTAGACTGCAGTGGTTCCCTTTCTGAATTGTCCTTGCAGGCAGTTGCTGACTATTATTGTTCTTGTTATTACAGTTTTACATTATGTATTTTTTGACACTGTATCACTCTTACATTTATACTTAAAGAAAGTATCAACAGTAATTAATCAACTCCTGGAAGTTAGTATTAAAAAAAAAAAGTTAACATCAGAAATTTCCCACCATCCATCCCTTCTCTGTGGAGAAAAGAGGTCCCTTGTGTCACAAGCTCCAAGTCTGCATCCAGCTCTGTTAACAGAGCTCTGGGTGAATTCATATTGGGAATCATGGAATTCATCTTCATTGCAGATGCCAGAGGAGGGTCAGAATCCCAGCCTGGACTTTAGGGTTGCTTAGATCACAGGTCTCTTGGTTCAAGACTACTTCTGATTAGAATTTATTACTTTCAGGAAAGCAATCTTCATGTAATAGCTGAGGAGTTTTTTTCCTTACTGTATTGATACAGTATCTTTTATTACATTAGGAGGTGAAAGTTATGGCATGGGGTACCTTGTTTAGGAAAATGTCCTATAAATAAAACAGTCATGGGTAGATGCAGTATAGAGCAGAACTTGGTTAGTTAGTCATGAATTTACTCATTCCTCTGAGCTATTTTATAATTTGCCCGTGCTTCAGTTTTAATATTAATACTTTAGCTGATGATCCCCGGTCAGGGAATTCCCCCGGGCAGATGGAGCCCGTTAACCCTGTGAGGCCATCCATCTAAGAGAAGGTCACTCTAAACAAACCTACGTCCTGAGGACCTCACTGCCATTGTCCAAGCTTGCTTGGCCCCAGCAGATGAACCTTAGGATTAAAGGGTGGGCTCAGTTCAGCGCATGCTGTGTCTCACCTAAAAAGTCCATTGCGCAGGCTGGAAAGGTAAAAGACCTTTCCCAAATCTTCGTTCGCGAAGACTGGCCATACATACTTTAGCTGATAAATTTGTGGGTTTTTCCGACACCCAGGGCAATGTGTAGTTGAATATGTTGTCTTATTGTCCAGCCTCTCCTCTGACCAGCCTCCCTCCCTGTGCAGGGTTACAGCGAGAGCCTCTCCTCGGCGGAGGTGATCATCCGCTTCGCCTTCCAGGCCTCCATCACGGTGCTGTGCATCGCCTGCCCCTGCTCCCTGGGCCTGGCCACCCCCACGGCCGTCATGGTGGGCACGGGCGTGGGGGCCCAGAATGGCATCCTCATCAAGGGGGGGGAGCCCCTGGAGATGGCACACAAGGTGAGCGGGGGCACTGCTGCGGGGGCTGCCCGGCCCGGGTGTGCTGGTTTAAAAGTTAACCAGCAGGGGAAAATGAACTCAATTCAAAAGAAAGATTTATAAGTCAGAATAACAATTTATTAAAATAATACAATAAGTACAATTATACAGACAGATAGTTGGTTTTAACCCGCAAAACCCAAATGCATAACCCAGCACCCTGGGGTATGAACAAAAGTGGTGTACCTTGGCCCCCCCCGAGTCCAAAGTAAAGGGAGAGGGGAAAAAACCTGCTGGTGGGAGAGCTGCTGCAGTCTGGTCAAACGTGGTGATTGGAGTCCAGTTGAGGGTGGTGGTCTCAATCTGGTTGAAGGCGGTGGTCTGCAGTCTAGTTGAGAGCCGTGGTCTGCAGTCTTCCTCTGGATCCCACGAGAGGTGGCAAGGTTCTGAAACTCCATTATATACTCTCCAGTTCAGGCGGGAACGCTCAGTCCCTCCCTCAGAGTAGGGAATTCCATAAAAGGGCATGATAATGCTCAGTCCCTCTCTAAGAGAGGGGAATTCCATAAAAGGGTATCAGAGCGGGGAATTCCATAAAAGGGCATGAGGACAGGAACATCCCCCCAACTCGCAGGCCTCCACTGACAACAGTTTCTGGGGAAATGGCATGGAAGGCTATAGAATACACAGTTTTGGGTTACACCCATCCAGTGATGAATTGGTCCCAGCCGTTCTAACCAGGACACCGGGCTCACCGGGGTGTTATGGTTTGGAGCTGGCTCCCTGCCAAGTCTCCAAACCTTACCACAAGGATTCCCCCCCCCCACCCCAAACCAAGGGAGAAGAGGGGAAAAAAAACCAAAAGAACTGAAAATGAGAGAGAGACAAAGCAATATATATATAAATATATTTACACTTATATTTACAGTTATGTACAGTTGAAATATATATATATATAATTTCACAGGGAAAAGGGAAAGGGGAAGGGAAGAACAAAAACCAAAATAATATATATATATATATATATCTCCCGATCAGTAGCCCAAGGTCTTATCAACTAAAAGAATTAGCAAAGAATATCTTCCTACTCTCCTTGGGACAAAGGAGAGTCACGCTGGGGTGACTGGTGGCTGCCGGCAGCCTCCGCCTCCCAAGGTCGACAAGGCCTTACCAGGCCTCACTCCCCAACCCGACAGACTCAACAGCAGGGAAACCTGCACCTCCAAAGCCGCCGGAAGGAAAGAGAGCCAAGGCCTTTCCTCCCTTCTTCTTATACCCCAGTTTACGTAAAAATCGTAGGGAATACCGGGTAAATCTGGGCACTTCCTTGGTTACAAGCTGGTCACCAAGGAAGGCCCAGACCAAACTACCACACGGGGTTTGCCAGCTGCTGTCGGAGCAGACTGTGGAATATCCCGAGGTGGCAGGGGTTACAACTCACCCCAGGAAAAGGGGAGGGGGGTAACCCAGGTTCTTATCAATAATTCCCTTGGGGTGGATTAGAGTGAAACGACGCTGAATAATCAGTGTCTGAAAACATGTATAGGTAGGGTTTATTTTAACAATTTTCTTGTAACAGGTATGTTAGCATTTTGGGTGTTGTCATCTATATTATCTGTTATAGGGATAACCCCTGGGGGGAAAATGCATAAGGGAGAGAAAGGAAAGACAGGATAAGGGTAAGGGAGAGTAAGAGAAAGAAAGCTGAGAGTGGACAGATGTCTATAGTCACCGCCCACGGGGTCCAGCGATGGAACTTGGGAGTTGCAGTTGAAGTGGTGGCCTTGATCCTTTGGGGGTGAAGGAGGGAAGCCCCCACATTCAAAGAAGTTATGAGTTATTGTATCCATGGTTAGTGTCACAGGCCATGCCTCGAGCCTCCAACATCTCCTGGGTCTGGGCTGAGTTCCCATGAGGGCTCTGGCAAAAGGGTTTCTCCCGCCTTTCAAGATTGGTGGGGGGGGAATGGGCTTTGATGGGCTCTCAGAGGTACAATGCAAAAGTCCTGCAGAAGCCAGCAAAAGTCCCTTGGCAGTCATAGAATGCAGAAATCATGAACCATTTCAATCTCTGAAAGCAGGGACCCCCCAGGATCATTCTGGGTGCATCACTGGTGTCAGTCAGTCTGCGCCAGCAAGCTTCTTTAAAAGCGGTGGTTTCCTGAGGAATCTGTACCTTAAAGTTTGTTTCACTGCAAAAAACCTTCCTGTTGTGCTGCAGGTGAAGGTGGTTGTATTTGACAAAACAGGGACCATCACCCACGGGACTCCAGAAGTGATGCAGGTGAAGTTTCTGGTGGAGGGTAACCAACTACCCTGTCATAAACTGCTGGCAATAGTGGGGACTGCAGAGAGTAACAGTGAGCACCCTCTTGGAGCAGCAATAACCAAATACTGCAAAAAGGTGAGTTAGTTACACAGGGGAAGAGCAGTTTGTGTTACAGAACAACCTCTCTTGCAATACTTCATAAATAACACCAGACTATTCGTACATATGAAGTATTTACTGTATTTATTTGGGAAATCTGAAAATTGTGGGACCACATAAAGCACTTCATGCCATATTAGAGGGGTACTCAAAGTTAGATTTTGATGATTGATTATTTCCCTCCTCCTGTTTGTTCGAGTGCACTTTATTTTGTGGGCTTTGTAAATACAACATGCTTTTATATATGTTTAAAAGCCTCCTCCATTTCCATCCTTTATCTCTAGGAACTGGACTTGGAAACCCTTGGGACATGTACAGATTTTCAGGTAGTTCCAGGCTGTGGCATTAGTTGTAAAGTCACCAATATTGAAGCATTGCTCTACAGGAAAAATAGAATGGTTGAAGAAAACAATATTAAAAACGCAACTCTCGTGAAAATTGAGGAAAATACAGATGAATCAGTGCAGCCTGCTTTGATTATTGATGCTGAGCTACCAAGTAAGTTAATTCTGGTTTAGAAGATAAAATTAAGAATTTTTGCTTTTGTGCCTTTAGGATCCTCAAGAGTAAAGTCACTTATTTTTGTCCCAGAGAACTGGACTGGCATCAAGGCACACATTATTTAGTTGGTCATTAGTTTATTTTGTGGTCACACATCACTCAGAACATTTAAATTAAATATTATTTCAAGTTACATATTGAATATGGGGCTGGAAAATCATACAGGAGTTGTCTGTCAGCTCTCTCTGGTTTTACTTTACTTTATCCCAGGTTACCAAATTATGTACATTTGCACAACTGAGTGGTTTTCACTCATTGTTAGATCTCTTTCAACTGCATTGGGCTGTTCCATGGGTATTAGAAGGGCTGAGAAGGGGACTTGGTCCTTTATTGTTGTTTGACCTGGGATTTTTGGTCCTCTGACATGGTAACTACCCAGCACTGAAGAAATGTTGGTGTCTCTCTCGTCAAGAACACATGAGGAGTTCAGGAGGGCAGGAAGGATTAAGAAAGACTATTTGTGTTTGAATTCTCTGCAGTGCTGTTTCACTGCTCACCAAGAGAACACGGATGGGATTAGCTGAGGGGAAGCTCACTGGTTAATCCATATGATGGTAGGACTGTGTTTTCTCCCTTCAGCTACTGTGACTTCTCAGAAATACTCTGTTCTCATTGGGAACCGGGAGTGGATGACCAGGAACGGGCTCCTTGTGAGGAGTGAGGTTGACAAAGCCATGATGGAGCACGAGCGGAGGGGCCGCACGGCCGTTCTGGCAGCTGTGGATGGTGAGCTCGGTGCTGCTGCTTTGCTCTGAGCTTCATCTGTCACTAAATGTCATGTAAAATGTCACCTAAATAGGAATTATTAACTGATGATGTAATAGCAGTTATACCTGAAGCAGAATAATGGGATGAAAAGAGATCATTAACTAGTTTTGCAGCACTTTCCTATGAGAAAGACCTTGTCATGCTTTTCTTAGCTAACAGGAGAGTTGGACATGAGCATAGAATTCAAAGAGAGCAAAGGGGAAGAGAGGAGAGAAAAGGGTGGTTTTTTTTTATTCTGGTTACATAGTCCATGGTCTGTGTTGCTTTAAACTTTGCTACCCTCATACCTGTTCTATGTCTATATTACTGGGTTTGGAACTGGTCTTACTGGGGGCAAAAAAGTTAGTTTTTTGTTTCCTTCTAAAGCAGTAAACATCTTCATTACAAATACTTTCCTTCTGTTTTTAGGAGTGCTGTGTGGCTTGATAGCTATTGCTGATACTGTGAAGCCAGAGGCTGAGCTGGCAGTCTACACTTTGAAGAGCATGGGGTTAGAAGTTGTCCTCATGACTGGTGACAACAGCAAAACAGCCCGATCCATTGCCTCTCAGGTGAGCTGCTGCTCCTGGGGCTGGGTTTGAAGCTGGGCTCGTTGTGGCACGTTGATACTGCTGGTGGCTGGCATAGAACTGGTCTGTTGTGAGAGATGGCAACGTAAAATATTTGGAATAAGGGGGAAATGCAAGGAGCCTTTTTGAATGAACCCATCCACTGTGATGGGTTTTGTCTTTAGCTCAAGAGTTTCACAGGTTTCACCCTTCCCAGTCACATTATTCCAGGCAGAGGCTTTAACAGAGCTGCCACACAGTCGTGTCCTTTCTCTCTCTCCAGGTTGGCATCACCAAAGTGTTTGCAGAGGTTCTTCCCTCCCACAAAGTGGCCAAAGTGAAGCAGCTCCAGGACGAGGGGAAGCGGGTGGCGATGGTGGGGGACGGGATCAACGACTCCCCTGCCCTTGCCATGGCCAACGTGGGCATCGCCATCGGCACCGGCACCGACGTGGCCATCGAGGCAGCTGACGTGGTTCTCATCAGGGTGAGAAATGAAAGGGCTTGGTTGAAGTGGGCTGACAGGAGGGGTTGGAAGGCTCAGGGTGTGCTGAATGATGCAGATCTCCCCTGAGGTGTACAGCCTCCATAAACCAGGAGAGCTGGAGCAGAGCTTGTTTTCATCGTGTTTGTTCAGTGTAGTGGTGATTATGCTATGAAGGGAACTCCCTGGTCTTCTGGGTGCTGCACCTTTTGGGGTAATTAAAGTTTGAGAATGGGCAAAACAGGAAAAAAGTGACCTAATCTTTGGCAAACATAAATTGTATTTGTCCCACAGCACCTCCAGGTTTACAGTCACGAGGTTACATATCAACACCTGGACAGAGACTGTGGTCAGTGTTTGGAGCTGCACTGTGAGGTGCTGTGTACATTACTTGGATTATGATGACATCTGGAATGAGACTGGCACTGACTGTATGGGCTCTGCAGACAGACTAGAGCAGCCTACAGAGTACTTACTACAGTCTGTGACACCTACAGTCTGTGTGTGGGACTTAGCTTTAAAGCAGGAGTATAAAGACACTGCATGGGGGCCTTTCTTTCACTCTGACTTCTCCAATAAACATAACTTGCAGGATGACTTGATGGATGTGGTAGCAAGCATAGATTTATCAAGGAAAACTGTGAAGAGGATCCGGATCAACTTTGTCTTTGCCCTGATTTATAATCTCATTGGAGTTCCCATAGCTGCAGGTATGTGAGTGTCTCCCTGCACTAGGATTGGGCCCAGTGAGTAGCAGATTGCAGAACTCTCCAGTGTGGGAGAGTTTCCATTTTCTCTACTTCTGGCTGTTGGTGAGGGCAGAGGTCTCTGCCTGGGCATGTTGCAGTGGGATATTTGTGAGCTGTCCTCCCCCGACACTGTGGCTGCTGTGGATATGCTCAACACATCAAAATAACTTTGAGATAAAAGGTTTATTGAATGAGCTTGACCTTGTGAACAAGCAGTTTACTGCAGGGTGGGCAGGACATTTCTCCTCTGAGTTTCAGAGTGTGCAGGTGACACGCCCAGGTGTGGATTCACCTGAAGTTCCAGTTGAGATAGAACACAAATCCTTATGTATTAAATACTTGTTGTTTAAATTAAAATCCTATTTATTAACACATTGAGATGCAACTAAAACTAGGCAGCCTGTGTGAAATTTTAGGTGTTAATACATGAATATTGGAGTGTTCCTGCTCTGAACTTTTTGTTGTTTGCTTTTTCTAGGTGTCTTCCTGCCCATTGGGTTGGTTTTGCAGCCCTGGATGGGATCTGCAGCAATGGCTGCCTCCTCTGTCTCTGTTGTGCTTTCTTCTTTACTGTTAAAGATGTGAGTAGGGACAGATTTGAAGCTTGGATCTTTCACTTAGAGTGGCAGGAGATCAGGGTGGGACTATGAGAGATTTCAAAGCCTTTTGAAGAACAGTTCAGGCAGGTCTGTTGAGCAGGCAGTAGTGCTTAAAAATGTAATTTCTAACTCGAAGAGGGATGCACAAATCAGAAGTGTGTTCAGAATGGAAAATTCCTTATGGCCTTTGTGGATTTGTGAGAAACCTTGTCAGTCAAATTATAAATGGCTCTGGCTTGGGCACAATCATACCCATAGGCAGGTTTTATCTGTATTTCAGTGTACTTCACTTCAGCCTGAGAGGTGTTTGTTATATTTTGTTTTTTCCTTCCCTAGGTACCAGAAACCAAGATCTGAGAAACTGGAGTTCAGGGCCCGTGGCCAAATGAGGCACAAGAGCCCATCAGAGATCAGTGTCCACGTTGGCATTGATGAGGCTGGGCCTGGCTCCCCCAAGCTGAGCCTGATGGATCGAATCCTGCATTACAGCAGGGCCTCCATAAACTCTCTGTTCTCAGACAAGCGCTCCGTGAACAGCATCGTCCTCACCGAGCCAGACAAGCACTCGCTGCTCGTGGGGGATTTTGGGGAGGACGATGACACGGCCTTATGAGAGACTTGAACCCCCTCCTCCCACCCCCACTGAGGCAAAACAAAGAGAAACACCTGGAACAAAATGAAAACACAACCAAAACAGCTGTCTGAGGTCTGTGCATGTACTGATCCCTCTGGAGGTCTTTCTTCTTCAGTGTAGAGGTAGTTTTTGCAGTGACTTTCCAGAGTATTTTTTGTTTTTTTTTTTTTTAATCTAGACTTACCAAAAAATCTGGTGCGTAGCTGTTGATGCTGACAAACAGGGCTGTGTTCCCATTCCATGAAGCTTGCAGTATAGCATTTATTTTGGCAAATTGTCAAAATACAACCAAGGAAACCAAGGAACCAGAACAATATTTCCCAGCCTTATACCAGGCTACTTTATGCATAGTCGAGTTCAGTACCGTGTTGAAAAATTGTGAATTACTGCATCTGCAAAATCTGGAGGTTCTGTTTGCAGAGAGATGTGCCTTACTTCAGAACTTCCTGAACCCCTCTCGTTTCCATAGCCTGCCTTTTGCCAGAAGTGGTTCCTCTCAAATGCCTTTTCATTTTATAAACATCTGGTTTCAGCTTTTCACACTGAGCTTCAGGTGATCTCCCCGTGTGCTCCGGGTTCCTGCGCAGCACAGACAGAGAGGTTTGGGGTCACACCCACACTGAGCTCTGCACATCGTGCCCTGGGACACTCCTGCTGCTGACACTGCTTGAAGGTTGGCTGGGTTGGGAGGTTTGTTCATTCCCAGCCTCTCCTAAGCCAAAAACTTCTGCAACATGTGAATGCAACCTCAGTGTGATGTGCATTAGCCAAAGTGTTCAGATTTAGGAAGGCAGTGTGGTTACTGCTCACCACCAGTGTCTGCTGGCACTCCTTAAATGAATCAGGAGAGTTTGTCACACAGACTACCTTCAAAATCTTTACAGTTCAGTCTTTCCTTCTAAAGATAAGTGTCTGTATACCAGGAACGGTTCAGAATCCCTCCGTGGGTTGGTGCAAACCCCCTTTGCTTGGACTGTTCAGATCCAGGCTTTGTGAATTGAGACAGTCCTCGTTTGCTACTGAACTGCAGTATCAAAATTCAGGTTTTGATCATGAAATCATTAATACTAAAAATACTGTTGGTGAGAAAAGAGATGTTTTTCACCCAGTAGCTGGTTACCTGTTGGTTACTCCCTGAGCCTGCTGCCAAGGTGGCAGCAATTCCTGGGATCAGTAAAGTTGGATTTCATTAGGAGGTACAGCCCATGGTGTAAACATGTCCCAGTCGTGCTTGTGGAGGAGAAATACTCAGTTCAGTTTGGCATATGATAAAGAGATCTCTGTAATGTTCTGGTTCTTAACTTGAAGCCTGATGTCAGGGCATAGATTGTGTATGTAAAAAGTCATGAGTAAACAGCTTTTGCATTTTGTCTGAGAACTACTAGAAAAGTCCTGCTGTGTGAGAGCAGAAGAGCTGTGCTGTGGCTGTTGTCAGTAAATCAGTATACTCACATTGCAGTGAGGAGAACATCATCATGTGTTGCTACTGCTAGTTTAAAAAACAAAATATTTCTGCTGCAGGATTTTTGATTTTTAATATCTCTAATGAAAACAGAGTATTTTTAAAAATTAAGATTATAGCTGTATGTAATAGGTAGTGTTGTTACATGCTGAGATAGATCACTGCAAAGCCATTCCATGAGGTGTTCCCACTTGGCAGCAGCAGAGCTGTTCTTACAAAGCAGGTTGTTACCCGAAAGCTGTTTAATCATGTTATGATGGGTTTTAGTGCTTCACAGTCATGCAAACTCTTTCCAAGGATTTCAGTTTCCTTGTTTATGCACCCTCGTTCTGCGTGTTGTTCTTGGCACAGTTCTGCAGGTGAAAGGGAAGTGTTGAGCTGGTTTTGATTGTGCTCTGGGTGGTCTCAGTCACTGCTCCTGAGGGGAGTGTCAGGGCTGCAGGTGCTGGTTGTGGAGTGGATGGCATGGAAATGACACATCAGGGCTCTTCCTGCTGGAAATGGGGAGGTGGTTCAGGGCTAAATTCCTGGTTGGTAGATAAAAGCAGCATCAAGAACTTGTTAAACTATTTCCAAGTATATTTTTAGAGCACTTTGCCTCTTGTTGTCCAAATTGTATGTAGGTGAATGTTTACAGCAGACTGCTGCCTTTATCTCCAACTTTGTCCCAACACAGATGTTTTTCCATGTTTACCATTTTCTGTGAAACTCAGTGTTTGATCCTGTTACAACAAAATAAGGCTCCTTTTCCAAACCAGGATACCCAATGATGTGCAGAGATGATTATCAGGGAATAAGGAGCAGTAAATGCTGGCTGGGAGGGATGGGAGAGCAGCTTGGAGGGACAGCCAGAGGACCAGACTCCGGGGAGAGGAAATAACTGAGCCCAAGGATGGATGGGGACAAGGTGGTTGTGATAAATTCAACCAGATCTTTGGAAGCAGGTTGTCTGTCCAATACTCCCCAAAGGTGTGCTAATGACTTCCACAATGTTTATCTTGTGATTAAAATATTACATAAGGTGCTTTATGTTGAAAAACCAAAATGTCTTTCAGTTTGAATGTACAGTGCAAATGGAATAATGTGGGAGCTAAATGTAAATGTTTTAATATGTAAATAGGTTTATTCCTGTTGTAGACAGTTTGGATTCAGAAATTTAAGATATCACTTGGAAACACACAGTTACAAACAAAATTGTATTACTCCTTTGTCTATTTTATTGTTTTCTGTGTCTATTTATAAAACCTGTGCTCTATTTAATAAAAAAGTATATTTGCTCCAGGTTTTAAAAGTTGCTCTTTGAATCTTACCAAACTTATTTAAACTTCTAAGAGTTCAAAACACTTGAAATTTTATACCAAAAAAAAAAGAACGTGAAGTTGACAACACAGTTGAAGCAAGCAAACATTTTTATTTATTAAAAACTATGCCTATTTTTTTGCTTAGAAGTTCCAACAAAATGTTTTAAACTTGAGAATTTTTTTTATTCAATTTTGCTACGAAGAGAAGTGAATGCTGGTGTGGAATGTTAATGCAGGGCTATTACAGTTCTTTGCATCTAGAAACATTTTCTCATGCTTTCTATTCTTTTAAGACTGTGCCTCCATCATTATAATGGCAATTACAAGTCACGTAATAAAAATGTGACTGAAGGCTGCTTTAAATCATGTTCTGTGATCTCTTTTAAGTATTTTTTGCTTGGTCAGCACAAGGCCAAGGGTTGGGGTTTCTGTGTGTTTCCAGCCCTGCTAAACACAGCCTTAAGCAAACACTGAGCCTGCATGAAACTGTGGGGCTGGGAGCAAGTGGTGTCAGTGAAAGGTGGGAAATGAGGGAATCATCACCCTGTGGGAGCATCGCTGTGTTATGGGGAGTAGCTGAGGCTGGAAGAGGCTGCTGGAGGTCACGGAGTCAAAACCTGTCACAGGAGGTGACCCAGGGCTGCTTGCCCAGGATTGAGGTTTTCAGCTTCTCCACAGCCTCTGGACAGGCTTTTCCAGGGGTCAGTCACCCTCACAGTAAAAAAGTGTTTTCTTGTGCTGGGATGAAATTTCCCGTGTTTTGGTTTGTGCCCCCTGCCTTGTTCTCCCAGTGGGTGTCACGGAGCAGTCAGGCTGCAGTGCAGTTCTGTGTCCCAAAGCAAAGTGCCACGTGTGAAGTGGTGGGGAAAACTGCCTGTGAGTGTTCCTGTGTTCCTCTCATGGAGCTGGCTGGGCTCCCTGCCTCAGGATAAGCATTTGGGTCAAAATGTGGCATAAATCTGCCAAAGCCCAGACACTTTCCTGAGCAGTGTTTGAAGGAATGCAGAGCACTTATCCCCCTGTGGTGCCCTGCTGTGGTCTGTGAGGGCCAGCACAGCTCCAGGGGGGTTTATACCTCCAGTTTGTCAGGATAGAAGAAAGGTGAGAGGCCTGAACAGGTCTTATATTTTTGAGTTTTCTAGAAGCAGCTCTCAAGCATTTTAACTAAACAATGAGTGAATGCTCCAGTACTTCTCTGAGCTGCTTTCTTATTTTCATTAAAAAAAAAAACAAAACAAACTAAAAATCCCCCTCTGCTCTGTCCGTTCCCCCATGCCTTGTGCCTGCTCACAAGTAGATTGGCCAGGTTGCATGGCCACAAAAAGAAATCCTGTTTGGTTTTTTGGGGTTGCTCAGGCTGGGGTCCCGCACAGCTCCGCTTTCTCCCCGGGCCCTCAGCTCATCCCTGCCCAGTGCTGGGCTCAGCTGGACACGGGGCAGAGGTTTTGGTGCGATGCTGAGTGCTGAAGGCCTCCCCTCGTGTCTCCTTCCCCCCCCCCGAGATGACTCAGTGCTTGGCTGCAGCTGGATGGGCAGATCCTGCTGCACCGGGAGCGTCCCTGGGACGGCGCTGCTGGGCAGTGGGAACGAGGAGGTGGATACCTGAGCCTGGGTGGAACTGAGCCAGGCAGGGGAGATCCCCCGGGCTCTGCAGACACCTTTAGTGGCCACTCGTTTTAGGCAGAGGGAGTCTTCACGTTCACCGGCCCTGCTGTGTGTAGGAGTTTGCATCCAAGCCTTTCCAAGATTAGTTTTACTTTCCGTTAAGACACAACCCTGTAATTTCTTCCTCTTGGACTGTCTCTTTGGCCTAGTGTGCCCCAAGAGGGGTGGAAACCTGCAGTTTTAGCACTTGGGTTTTGGAAGCTACATGTTTGTTGCACAGAAATAGTAACCAACACATTTGGGTTTGTTTAATTTAGGCCTTGAGTCATTTTGGGTTAAGAAAGTGTGTGAACCTTCTTATTTCAGTCTGAATGGTTCTATTTTAGCTCTGACTGAATTAAAAACAAAAACCAAACCAACAAAAATTAGCTAGAATTTTTTTTTTTACATATCTATCCACCCACAGTTTTGTGGCAGATTGTTTAGGGAAATGGATCTAAAGCATCTTGGGCTTCTGTCACTGCAGGATGGACACGATACCTGCCATGTACCACACTACCCTGATGTGAAGCTGCACCACCTCTCTGAACAGAAAACTCACTAAATGAACACATCTGCATCTTAAGATTATCTCAGCTGAAGATTCCATACTTTCAGGGAAGATAAATCTGCAGAACCCTGATCTGGATTCGTTGAAACATCTTCTTTATGCAACCTGTATCTACTTGTTAAAACCAACCAACAAAAAAGCCCCAAAAACTCACATGTTCATCAAGTAGCAAGAAGGCCCCAAATACTGTGTCAAATGTTCTCAGGAACAAGGTATGACACATAAATCTCTTTATTCAGCTGGCCAATGTATATCACCTGTGATTCAAGATTAATACAGAATTAGAAATTATTAGGACCCTCCTGGAATGTGACAATGCCTCTCCTTTCCTCAAATCTGACAAGACAATGATATTTCCAAAGTGAAAGCTTTGAGTTACCCCAGAGTAAATGCTGTTACAAGCCACTGATTGCAGTTTTACTTTAGCTTGTACAGGTGTCTAGCACAGCAGCCTCTCACCTGCCTCACCTCCCTTGGTGGCAGCAGGCACCTTGTGAGCGGTGAGCAGAGCTCTGGCATTCCATATCACTGTTTTGTTGGGGAAAAAAAGAGAAAGGTTAAATTATTTGGATCAAATATAAGTTCATTCTACACTGTACAAAATCAGTGGACCAAATACCAGCTTCCAGGGCTCTGGTGGAAGATGCTATCATAGATAATGGTGGGATTAATGTTAGTTTAAAACTTCTTTTCTTGGGCACTGCAGAAGCACAGAGAAGCACTGTGTTCCTGCAGCCTGTCGTAGCCAGGAGCTCCATGGGTTAACACTGGAGCCTCTGCAGCTGATGCCTCAAACATCATTTTCAGGCTTGACAGGATCCATTTTACCAGCACACAGCTCCTGCATGGATTTTTTAACCACTCCCTAGATGCTTTCATCTCAGTGTGGCTGCATCATCTTTTAAGGTGCTCTTTCATTTTCTTTTTCCTTTTTTAAGTAACATTTTTAGAGCACATCTCTGCAGAACAATTTAACCAGCCCTTAAGGTCAGGCTCTGATTCCAAATTCAGCATCTGCCTTGATACCAGAGCTGTGCCACTGGCAATGTTAGGGTTTGGTTTTTTTTCCTTCCAGTTGACTGGATAATTTAAGTAATAGCTGTGACTTTGTACCACATCTGCTCAGTCATGATGGAAAATTGCTGATGAGGTAAGATTGGACCGTATTCCATTAAACACATCTCTAAAATGAAGTTTTTAAGGACAGTTGGAGAGCTGTACACACACACACACACACACACACACACACACTCTCGAGATGTAGGAAAAGGAGAGACAGAGTGGGATTCTTCAGCATTTTTGGTTTAACTCCTCATTGAATGTAATCCCTGGACAGCCCTGAAGCCCTTTGTCTCAGCAGATGTTAGAAATGGGACTGTGTGCTGGCACTGGGCAGGTGAGGGGAGCAGCCAGGACACATTGACCTTTATTCTCTTAGGTCTGTGCCCATTCTTCAGGCAGTTTTTCCCACAATCCCAGATTGGCTGCTCCAACTCCTTATCCCAATAGATGATTAAAATGAAAAGCAGGGAAGAATTACAAAACCCAGACAAAGCAAGAGCGGGTGAGAATTTATGGAATGTGCATTCACATAAACTTTAATCTCTAGAGCAGCAGCAAGTTTGGGGGTACAAATCTTAACATTTTTTCCTAATTTGTCCTTAAATTCTAATGCTCCCAACCTGGCAATGCTCCCAGTGCCTACAATCACACATGGAGCAGTTAACTCCAGTGCTTATTCAGGATTAAAAGGTGGAAGCTGACCTTGTGCATGCACACTGCCACAAATCCTTGTAATTCCTCCCAGTCTTTGCTGATCCCACGAGCCACGGCTGGGTGATCATTTACAGGGCAGTAACCAAACGCCCCCTCCCGTGAAATGCCGGAGTTCACCGGGGTGGAGGCAGCACATGTGCCGGTGGGTGCAGAAGAGCCCGAAGCAAGGACAGCTCCTCTCTCCTGACCCGCCGGAGCACCTGAGGAGCCTCTTCCCATGGGCAGTTTCAGGAGACAAAATCCAGGCAGAAGTGGTTGGTGCTTCCTCCTGTCTCCTCTTTCCCCGGGTGCTGGGATGGATTTCCAGCGGGGTGGCACCTCACAGCCTGCCCTGCAGCACCCAAACTGGCTTGTGCTGTGAGAAACTCCACATTAAGGAGGTAGGAGAGAAATGGAGGAGAAAAAATACAATCTGCTTATTTCTTCAGTGCTTGGTGGTTTGGGAACCCAGTGAATAACAAATTAGCAAAGCAGACATGTGAGTACCAAAGTTTAAAGTAAGCACAATTAAAGAAACATTTAATAAAATAAAGCGAATCAGGTAACTCGAAACAGGGAAAGTGCAGAGAAAGAGCACCTGGAAGAGTGCTGAGGAGGAATTTGGGGGGCAGAAAAAAGCCTTCCCTTGCACTTTGAGGCACTGTGAAACCACTATGAAATATTGGTGGAGCACAAATGTTTCCCAGTGAGTCCTTGCCCACCTTCCCATGAAGGGCCCTGCTTCTTCAAAGCTCCAGAAATGGCATCTTTTCAGAAATTCCAAAGTCCCAGGAGTGCCGTGATTGTGCTGGAGCTCCCTCCAGTGGGGAGCAGGCAGGGGGCAGGTGCCCCAAACCACTCTCCCCTCGGGTTATTCTATTCACTGAAAGCCCAGCTCAGTGGCAAATCTGCTGGAGGGTCTAGCTGGGGATTTGGCCTTTCATTAGTTGGTGATCAGTGTTAGATTAATTTGTTACCCATTTTTAAGTAGACACTATTAAGGGCTAAACCAAAGGACAGGAGAATAGAATAGATAAATGTGCAGTTAAGACTGATGGAGTATGATAGTTATGTTGAATATCAAAATACATGCCCCAAAGAGACTCAGCTTTGACTATCCAAGAAAATCTCTACTACAAATCAGTTCAAGAGGTCTTAAATAGTAGTTTTTTAAAAAAAAACAACACATTTTTTTTAAACTGTGGTATTAAATCTCTATAGTTAAATATGTGATATGTATGTAAAAGCCTTTTAAAATAACTGGTCTTGCTCCAGACTCCTTCAGTGATATTCTGTTTCTGGAATCTGGGCACAGAAGGCTGAGAGCCAGTATTTAAGGGAAAAAAGTGTGCTGTTTCTCAGCCTCCCTCCTGAACTATTTCCATCTTTCTCTCTC